ACTCAGTGGTGAAGAACCGTGAGCGTTCGCGTTGAGTTGTCGCAAGATTCTAGTAAGAATCAATTCGATCTACATTCATTTACATTCACGAACAAAACAACGTGCTCATATGGCAACCGAACTCACAGGCAAATCCAACTACTTTCGTGGATGACAGCTATGTGAGGACAAATCGAATGAGAGAAGTATTTGTGTCTGCATAACATGAGAAATTTGGTTATATAAATGGAAATTGGTATAGTCTTTTGAAGCAGTACTGAAGCAGTCCTCCCAACGGTTTGCCGCCTCAATGTGGTTGGGAGGCGTTCCTGGGTGCCGGACTGCGATGTGCAGTGCGGGAATTCATCTCCCCTGCAATATCCCCTAGCTGAAAAGTCTGGCGTTTCCGTTAGGAGGCCCAGCTAAGGGTAAACCAATACCAGGATCCACCACCGTCCTGGTATCAAACTAGTCGCATGGTGGCAAATCTCCCTTTGATCCACAAGGGCTGCGACTGTCTGTGGTGGTGAAGACCTGGGGCAGACTTTGGCCAGGCTGACCTCGGGATTCTAGGAAACCACAATAGCCTCTCCAAAAAATAGAGGTTATGCTGGGCCCCCACAACCAGTGCGAACGTGCCATTCAAGCATTAAGTACCAAGTACTGAAGGAGTAGTGAAATGTTATACGTAATCGCTCGATTTGTTTAGTGATACACGGATGCACTAAATGAGAACTGATTTAATGGGCAACACTTTACGATGCTTCTCTATGAAACCATGGGAAACCATCGTAACCACTATTTAAATATTTGAAGAAAGACGTCTTTCTTTTTGAGTTAGATGACAGTGCTTATGCTTTGGGAAGATAAAGCATTACTGCCTACCCGTTTGAAATCCTAGCAGTGGTGCTCGCTCGGGTAGTACTGTTGTCGTCTCGACAGAAAATTTTCTGTCTCGCTCGCTGATGGCGAGCCAGCCGTTCCACATCTAAATAAACTAACCTCTCAAATGCAATGAGAGATCTGAGAGAAATGGAAAGAAATCGAGTTTGAAAGGTGTTTTGAAAAAATCTATATATGCATGTATGAATTTATTACGCTATGTGTCGTTTTCTTGTTCAGCAATCTCGAGGTTTTTAAACAGCATACATTTACTTCCGTAAAAACACAATACAATACAACGCTAGCTGATGTTTCGGCAGTATCGCCTTCTTCAGAGCCGCTTTTTTCGTGACTTCCAATGAGGAAGTTTAGAAGTTTAGAAAAAAGAAGTTCTAAACTTCGTCAGTCAGCTAGCGTTGTATTGTATTGTGTTCTTACGGAAGTAAATGTATGCTGTTTAAAAACCTCGCGATTGCTGAACAAGAAAACGACACATTCATATTCCAATGCCGAGGTTAAGAGAAAGTCGATCCTGGGAATTATTACGCTATGTTTGTTCCTCCTCCCAACGGTTCACCGCCTCATCGTGGCTGGGAGGTGTTCCTGGGTGTTGGACTGCGATGTACAGCGCGGGATTCATCCCCTGGCAGAGTCTTCCAAGCTGAGAAGGAGTCCGGCGTTTCCATCAGGTAGCCTAGCTAAGGGTAAACCAACACCAGGACCCAACACCGTCTATGTATCAAAGTTTGTATAGTGGCAAATCCACCTCTGATCCACAAAGACTGCGATTGCCTGTGGTTGGTGGTGAAGGCCTGGGTCAGACTTCGGTCAGGCTGACTTTGAGATTCAAGAGAACCAAAATGGCTTAATCGGCAAACCTCCGAAAAGGGAGGTTATGCTGGGGCCCCGCACAACCAATGAAGGCGGGTCATTCAAGTGTCAAGTAAGTAAGTATTTATATCTGTATCCATGCAACCGGTAATTACAGGTTGAGAATCTTGCTGGACTTGAACATGATATAGAAAGGTGAGCTTATATTTCTTCGAGACAATTAAAGTTGAGATAGACTGTGACATTTCCATAGACTAAGCCTAACACGATGACAAAGTACGTGGCTATCTTCTTGCCAGAAACATCGAAAGCAACAAAGGTTTCACAGAAGTTCGTTATTGACCATTTCGAAATTGGGATGTGCGGAGGTGATTGCATAGTAGATTGTAAATTCACGTTGCGATTAACGTTGTGCAAAAAGCTGGAACGACAGTACAATATATTTTTCCTTATTTACAGCACATGTCAAAAGGTGGAACGCGGTGGGAATGGAGTGAAAACTGTGGATAACGTTTTCAGTCGCCTTCTAAGATGTGACTGTTTCAACCAGGTGAAAGCGATCTTGCAACTGGGAAAAGTCCGGAAGATATCACAGATCTTGCTTTTCTCTCCGTAAGGCATTTGACGCTTTCTTTCACACAGCTTTAAAGGTTCGAATGTGCGCTCGTGGTTCCCTACTACTAAGGTAGCACCGCATTCAGGTACCAATACGAGCGTTTTTGAATCTATCAAGATTAAATCCTGATTTTGTGGTATTCAGAAGTGTCATTCCGCACTTTACATTCAGCGAATTTTTCGAACACCACAGCAAATAAACAAACGGGATCTCGGCCATCAGGAAAGAACGGTCTCCTCAATTTTTAGATGGTGCTTGCAGTTATCGAGCACGTGTAGCAAATTTCAATTAATGATGCTGAGATAATGTTTACTTTTCATTTTCTGCCTTCTATTATTTTTATGGGAAGGTATTAAGCGAAATACAACCACAAGATTGCTGAGATACTTGCAAAACTCCAGACCGCAGGTGTCTGGGGTGGGGAACGAACCAGCTATTGTTCTTTCCGGGAGTAACGCGTTAACCACCACCGTTCGTTCCCCACCACAGACACCTGCGATCCGGTTTTGCAAATATCTCAGCATCATTGAAGTTGTATTTCGCAATATATCCTGCCATTAAAAAGAGTAGGCAGTAAATAAGTTGAAACTAAAATTTTGTTCTAAACTTTTTGAAAATTTTAGTTTTAAAAAAACTTGAAACTCAAAGGATATTTTATACAAACTACGTAAACCTTTATCAAAACCTCCCCTATAAATCATTGATAACTCAAATAAAAGATAAAGAAGGTCTCAGCGTTGACCGATCCCTTAAGGATGCATCATGCATTCGATTTCATTAAGCATCTTTTGGAGATGTTTGAATGCATATCTGGCCTTTACAATGACTCGCGGTGGCCTACCAATGTATCGAGCCAGCGCTGCTATCCTCCCAGACAAGTTTAGTACCAATTTGCCTAGCCGGAAAGTTCGAAGGTTTGGTGGACCAAAGGAGCGGAAATCGATCACATGTGTATTGCAGGTTGACTCCGACCACTGCGCCACAAGCGCCATTAACTCTAATAATTGAGTAATAATAACTCAACGCCTCAAATACTGCAATAGTCGATAAATTATCGGCAGATATCTAGATACTAGCGGATACTAGCTTCATCCGTTATGGGATAATATTAAGAATCTTTTCATACAAAGACTTTAACCTTTAACTTTAGAATCACCACATGAAGACAACAATATAAAAACGAACTGAGTGAAAAAAAATCATACGAACCTAATGTTTGCGAAGGCGATGATGAAGAGGTACATGGGTTCTGAGCTATTGCAATAACTCCACTCGTCCTGGGCCTGTCATGTCTTTCAGGATTCCTTTTGCCGACCACGAGTGGTCGTTTCAGAGATATGCCAGCCGGCTTGCACGGTAGTTGGTGGTTCTGCCTTGGGGTATTGCGCAGTCCTTCTTCACTTCTCACTACCCGGATCAGTTCCTTCATCGAAAGGAAATCGCTGAAATCTCGCTTTACATGCCATCTTAATAGCTACGAACTTTCTCGGCAGTATAACCTTAATTATGAATGCACCAACAGATCTCTCTTAAGCACATTTGCGACAACGTGACCTCTATAGGAGTATACGATGAAGAGACAAATATCGTCCTCAACTTTGAATCCACATAACTGTGGTAGTTTTAAATACTAGTGGCTGTAACGAAATCTATTCCAATTTACCTACAGAATGAAAGTTTTTATTTTTTCACAATCGAATTCTGATTTTGTGTCTATAACATATTTTTTCCACTTCATTGCTTCAAAACGGTGCTTGTGGCGCAGTGGTCGGAGACGCCCTGCAACACACGTGAAATCGATCCCCGCGCCCGTGGCCCACCGAGCCTTCCATCCCTCCGGGAACGGCAAATTGGTACGAGACTTGTCTGGGAGAATAGTAGCACTGGCTCGATATATCGGTAGGCCAGCAGGAGTCATTGTAAAGGCCAGATGTGCATTCAACCACCTCCAACGATACTTAATAAAGTCGAATGTATGGCGCATCTTCCAGGAATTGATCAATGCCGAGAGTTTTATCCTTTGTCCTTTAACGAAACCTAGATGGGCCGGGCACATAATGAGAAGAACAGGCGACAAAAGGACAAAAAGAACTGTAGAGTGGACTCCACGAGAATGCAAATGTCCCCTAGGGCGGCCACCTAAACGTTAGGCGGACGTGTTCGTAAAATATGTTAAGCAGCTGTAGCCGCAGCTGGAATTATTTTACAGATCACGGTATGAGACTCGTACGGGTTACTATGCTCTAACGAAACCACACCATGAACGATGATTGCGAATGAAAGAAACGAATGGCAAATGTACTGAGGTCGCACAACTCGTGAGGATTGACCATCCAAGTATCCGAGTATCCAAATAAGTATCCTTGAATGGAAAGTATTAGGCTGATATTCTGGTATGCGTATTGAGCATAGTGGTAAGAGGTATCCCACAGTAGAAAAATCGTTCCACCTTGCGCCCCGGGCAAACCAAACCCTCCATCCCTTCAGAGTTGGAAAATTGGTATCATACATGTCTAAGAGAAGAACGCTAACTTGATACGACGGAAGGCAATTGTAAATCATTGTACAGGCTAGATACGCACCCCTATCATGCTCCACGAAGCCGATTACAAGTGCCTTCCTCAAGGATTGATCAAATGCTTTATCGTTCACCAATTTTTCGAAGACTCTTCACGTTTTTAAGTAAATGACATTAATTGACAAGGGTATTCTTTGGAAGTGTTTGGGAATACTCATACCTGCAGTGATCGCGAGATGTGCGAGCAGTGATGAAATCGTCGGACATCTCGATTACGACTGGTTCAGGAGCGGTGCTCACTCGCCTTTGCCCTCCCATTGCAACTCGTCCGTTCACCATCAGCTTCGGAATCGAAAGACACCGACTCCCGTTCGCGATAGGAACGTGGTTCATCTTCTGCTCCTAATTACAACATCTGTGTTAGTCCATTAAACAAGTGGAGGAAATTTTCAGCAAAATCCGAGTTACGCGCCTAGAGGTATCATAATATCTTTTGGATACGGGAAAGCGATGTTTTCCCATGATTCCTCCATAAATCGCGAAAAAAATGTAAAGTGCTCAATCATTGGTGCATTTAGATTCTTAAACCCAAGAAGGAATACGTTACTCTCTAATGAAAAAAAAACTGACCTTCGAAATTGAACAATTGATTTCTTCGCGTAAAAGTTTGTTGTAGGGCTAAAAACTTCGAAAACGTTTAAAGCTTGGCGAATTGATGGCCATGAACACCTGTTGTTTCCACAGGGTGTAACTCAGACAGGTAATAAGAAAGAAACGCAAAGCGAGGGCTTCATTGGTGCAGTGGGTAAAACATGAGCCCTCCGAAGTGATAATGGATGTATCTCACAAAATACCTAGCCGTAAAAAAATACTAAGCAATAAGTAAAAAGTTAAACATTGCAATTTCGACTACAGACTCAGCTTAGCCGGGTTTGACGCAAATTTTGCTTCTCAGATTATTTCCGTTGACGGGTGATTACTGTTGGCACTGTTAGTGTAAAAATAGAGCTGAGAGAAAGGCAAAGCAAGGTCCTCAGTGGGGCATTGGGCAACACGTGAGCCCACCGAAAGAGTAATTGCAGGCTGAAACTCACGTGGAGTCTGAATTTTGCAAATATCTCAACGTCATTATGGTTATAACTCGGACAGTTTCTTTTCAAAAGCAACTGAACTATCAGTACGTTGTTTCACTGTGGCTATGATAAAGGGGTCAAAAACGCTTCAAAGTTCTGGGTACTTATAACCAAGGGTGGTAGCTTCTACCACATTTCTAACAAGTGCTTATTGCAAAATTGAAAAGACATGGCAGTACAACAGATTGAATTCGTGAAAAATGTAATATGATTCGCACCTGATTCCCCGACGTGCGTGCTTTCTTCACACAGCAGCATACGGGCAGGAAAGAGAAGCGTGGCATTCCTAAAATAGTCTACTACTCGCCAATCAACAACGAAATACGATCGTGCCATTCATAAGAACCGGACAGAGTAGTGCTGTTTTCTTCACTGTCGTTCTACCCGTCGGTTGGAGGGATAAGTTTGTCAACATTGCGAAGCCCCTCTTTAACAGTAGAGTTTTCCTTTTTTCAATGAAAAGCTGCAGTTTTTTTACATGCTATTGGAAAACGAGGTGGGTTTACTTCTATGAAGGTGAAGACCAACTCTAGAATTGTTTACTAGTTGGCTACAAACTCAATAGCTGAAATATCCTCAAAAGGATTAACAAAGAAACAATGCATGAAAGCAAACGGGATTTCGAAAGGCTTTATGCAAAGCGGTCATGGAAGCCTTAGTCAGGACTCATACTCAGAGCACATTTGACCTATGAACTATGCACGAACTTTTTAACCAGAATTCTAAACAAGGTAACTCCACCCTGCATATATTATTCAACGAAGATCGGGTTTCTCATGAGAAATGGCCTTACTTTTGACATCTCACTCATGATCAACGTAACGAATCCTATCACGTAGGTGATAAAGAGAATCAGAATCTTGGCTTACGATCGTGGTTAAGGAACTTGTCGAAGATAACAAATGGCAACACAGGTAATGTAGCTGGTGTCCTTAGCGAATAATAAAGGATAAAGCTCTCGGCGTTGATCAATCTCTAAGCGATGCGTACATACATACATACACTAGACTTCATTAAGCATCGTTAGATCGTCTCGTCAACATCTTGCTCCCGCGGCCTTCCCAGAACCTTAATGATTTGAGCAGTGTCCACAGCAGCCGCGAAGTAGAGTCGCAACAACTTCATGTCAATATGGCAACGTCTAACCTCGTTTTTCCATTCTTGTCAGAAATCTACTGACAAAGAATTTCTGGTCAGAAGATGAGGAAAGATAAATGAAACTCACTAGTTCAATGTTCACTCCATGTTTGGAAGATAACGCCGAAATACTCAAAAAAATTAGGAATTTCTTAACTGATTACAATTTTCCAATTTCCTCTTCTTTGTCCAAATCCAACATTTTTCCTTACAAGGCGATCCACAGGAAAGCGGTTCACCGATTTTTGTGGGCTGGTTTAATCTTCTACCACAAAACTGGGACCAAGTAGTTAATTTTTGCGTTTTGTGAAAGAGAGCGTTATTAGCATTCGAATTTTAATCAGCTGCATGAACCATACACTCGCCACTGCTATAATTGACAGCTACGAGAATATCGTCACTTCTAATGGGAGAAAAAAAGGTAGTAAACACAAATAGTACTGAACACGGTAGCATCGTATGTCCACGACGGCGACGACTGGCTATGAAGTGAGGTCGACGGCGGTACGAGTTTCTTCGCCGTATGCTCGATCCATTTCAGGATAACGCGAACGTCACACGACCCCAAGCATAGTAAAGAGCACATCATTAGGCCAAACAAGGTTAGTGTTGTGCCCTGAAGAGCGGCAGATTTCTTCGTGGGAGCTGATGTGCAAACAAATGCTGAGAAAAAGATATATGTCTTATCGCTTACTAACATCTTATAGATGCATGCAGTCTTGTTCAAACCGTTAAATTTTTCATTATATATTTACATTTGGCAACATTATCATAGCTGTTCGTTAGTGTCCACTGGGAAGATTTAATCACTATTCATTATCTAGAAGTCTAGGGAAAAGGGAAAGGAAAAAGGAAAGAAAGCGAATGAAGAAGCAAGAAAGATGAATAGATTAAAAAATGAAAGGAAGGAGATCACAGTAAAAGGAAATTGGATAAGAGAGGTAATGAACAGTAAATCGAGATTGAGTCATTGGGAAAGCAAACTCGGAAAAGCTGGAATGAGAACAAAAAAGAAGGAATTTAGTCTTTCGAACTCGTCCTGGAAAGAAGTACGGGTGAACAGACTGGCGAAACGTAAGAAATAGTGGCAAAATGTTGCTATAAATAGCCGGATTACTCTTAGTTGTACGAGTAAAATAAGGAAAAATACACGCGACATTTTCAGTGGTGTTGTTATCGCTAACCGAGAAAAAAGGAATTGACTGACAGAAACAAAAACCGAGCAGACTGATCAACGACCACCGTCCGCTAGCAGTCGGCCCGCCCATAAGTGAATCAACAGAATTGCGCTTTAAGCTGATGGGTGACACCGAACTGTCAAGGTTACGAGAACGTCAACAACCATAGGTGTCCATACCTTCATAATATGTTGAGACATTAGCAAATCCCAAATAGAATATTGCTTCGATGTTCGTAAAGGGTGCGTGTAGCGCTTTGGTTAGAGGTGTCCCGCAACACATATGTGGTCATTAATTCGATCTCCGCCCAGAGCTTACCAAGCTTTCCATACCTCCTGGATCGGCAAATTGCTACCAGAATTATCTAGAGGATAGCTGCATCGACTAAATACATCAGTGGGCCATTAAAAGTCACTGTATAGGCCAGATATGAATTCAATCACCTCTAACGAAGCATGATGAAGTCGATTGCAAGGCGCATCCCTATGCGATTGATCAGCTTCGGAATCCTTATCCTTTATTCTTTGTGTCTGGCAAATGAACTTCAGAAACACTCGTCTTCGCTTTACACACGCCATTTTCGAGAAATACCATGGGAATCAGGTTAAATTAGACTTAACTCATCAATTCCAGTCCGGAATTTTACTGAAGACGCGAATACTTTTTCTTTCCCTTTCAAGATGCAGTTTTTTGGCAGAAGTCGCTTGCTGTTTAGCGGAACGATGGATGGATTTAGCCATACAAGCTGTTTGCCCATTATTCGTGGAGAGCACGACAGGTCGATCTGCTTCTTCAGGTGACCAGACACTATGGTGTGGTCTTGTCAGAGGCAAAGAACGCCTCTGCTATCACTACAACCCTGACCGTAAATGAGAACATCGATATTAAATAATGCAATGAACCTATACTGCCAATGTTAAGTTTTTAACTAAGCTGAACTTACTTACTACTCTCTCAAGCTACTAAACTAGCACGATGTTGGTAAAAAGACTTGTTTGGCTAACGTCTCGGCGCATTCGCCTTCTTCAGAGTGGATTGATTCGAGTCCACAGCCGGACATAACTTTCCATTCCAACCCGCGCCCATTCCATAGCCCGTACGACCTCGCGATGTGACTTTTCGCTGACGCATCGAGCCAAATTCGATGGAGAACCACTTCAACGAAGTACCCTCTGTTGAGAACAAAAAGCTACGATAATCAACTCGGACCATTCTAGCTCCATAGAACGTGATGGTGCGGTTACCTTAGCCGAATAAAGTTTTCTAACAACCCCGTTTTAGCTTTATCCAAATCCGTAATCCATGGAATCATTGCACTATTTATGCCGAGTTTTATGAAAAACGGTTTTTAAAAATAGATTTCCGCGATCAATTAGCTGTTTCCTTGATAAGCAGACATGATCTTCCTTTTGACACTCGTGAAAAAGAGATATTCATGCTTTTAATGAAATGCGGGTAAATTTTTACCTTCACATCTGACCCATTGCTGAGATCTTTTCTTCTTCACTACAATGGGACAAAAGTTTGAAACAAGCGGGATTATATGTTTCTTCGATGACTACTGATGACTTTTCGAAGACCAAAATAAATAAAAGCTTAATGAGTTGACAGATTTATAGACGACACTTTGTCCGTTCATCCTATTGTTCCAACGATACTTGATACCTGAATGGCCGGTCTTCACTGGCTGGGCGGTCCCAGAATAATCTCCATTTTTTCGGAGATTTGCTGGTTTAGCCATTGTGGATCTTCGGAATCCCGAGCTCAGCCCGGTTAAAGTCTGCCCCAGGTCCTCACCACCACACGCAGTCGCAGCGCTTGTGGACCAGAGGGAGATTTGCCAGCATGCGCCTAATTTGATACCAGGATAGTGGTTGATCCTGGCATTGGTTTACTCTCAGTTGCGCTTCCCGATGGAAACGCCGGCCTCCTTTCCAACTTGGGA